GAGCCACTCCAGGACCTTCGCCTGGGAGCTTCACACACGCAGCCTACAGGTCAACAGCTCTGGGGGCTTTCGTGGCCAGCAGCAGAGCAGCAGCAGGTCCCACACGTTTCATTCACTCACCTATCCCACACACGAGGCCTTCCCACCTCCCTGAGCACATGGAGCCCTCGGGGCAAACAGAAGATCGGGAAGCACAGGACAAGGGAGGCTTCCCCGGCCTGGTCCCCAAATCTGGAGTATTCCCGAGTRTAAAAAACAGCAGGTGGCATCATCATTTCTGGTAGAGAGAAGGATTTTCCTCCATGCTGAAACTGCCAGTGTCACCTCCTTAAAAAAATTATAAACTYTGTGTTACCCCAGCCCCAAAACGAGGTGGGACCCTGCGTGTTGGCCTCAGAGCAGCCACAGGGACTGTGGGATGAGGATCTGCTCACGCTGTCTTTGGAAATCCCTGTCAGGCCTTGGAAGCAAAGCAGGACTCGGGCTCGGGAGGTGGCTGCAGGCCYCGGGCCCAGGGCATCTCCTGCGCTTTGGTTACGATTCTCCTGGAGCAAACCCGACCCACCGAGACCCTCCCTCTCGTCACACAGCAAAAATGGGACCTTTTGTTTGTTGCCTAAAGATAACTCCTGTGGGCTTTTGTTATTTTAGTATTCCCAGTGCAAGGACAGGATTAAACATCTCGAGCAAATCTTTGCTGACCCTGAGAACGAGACCAGAAGGCGAATCTTGGGAGGGGAGGACCCATCTGCACCCGAACTGGTAGAGAAGATCGAAAAGGTAACGTAATCCCTTGYACCAGGATCTCCTGTGCTGCCACTGGCTTCTCTAAGAAAATGCAAATGATATACAGAGATTTTTTAGGTAAACTTTCTATAAGGCATTTTCTTAATTTTAACCGTATTTTCTTGGATGCAGGTGTCCATCCCCTTTATRGGGGCACAAAACCGTCCCCTCTGTGTCCAGCATTTCACCTGAGGCTGCCAGCTCTGCTGCGCTGCACGGGGCAGGAATCGTGCAGGTGCCGAGCAGGGGCAGCCGAGGCCTCCGCTGGAATCCCAGCTGGCCAGGGGCTGTTGAAGAGAGACGCTGCCGAGCGTGGCCAGGACTCGCCTCACGGCTTGGCTTTGCTTTCAGCCATCCCTTAGTGGGGAGGGAGCTCCGGGAGGCTGGAGCACAGCCCACCCTGGCTTACACAACAGGCTCCTTGCAGGGTCTTTGGAGCTCCTGCTTTCAAGTGCTCTTGAGCACCATAAGGGAAGGGAAAAGGGAAGGCTTCATTTTAAACAACAGCTGAAACCTTCTACCAAYGGCATAGCTCAAAGATCGAGAAGCTTTAAAAAGAAATCACTAGGAAAATAAGTCAATGCCTTCAAGAAAACCATGGAAGGCTGTAATAAATAAGGTTTGTGCAATCCCCCACCCCCAAAGGGGCCGGAATGACGTGAAGGAACTGGGTTGCTGAGGGCAACAGCCTGAGCTAAGGTGGGTCCGATATTCGGGGTGGAAACAGTCCTTTCTGTGATCTCCCATGGCCGCTCGTGGACGTTACTTGGGAAGCGACCCCTGAAGGCCCTTGGGCGCCCCGTGCCTGTCCCTTCTCCCCGCAGCTGGAGCTGGAGCTGCTGCGGAAGGAGGAGAAGCTGCTGGAGACGGACTTCGTGTACGAGCAGGTCTGCCGGCTCACGGAGCGGGCCCRGGGCCGCGCGCGCGACGGCGAGCGGGACACGCTGCTCCTCGCCAAGAGGGTGAGCGGCCCCCACGCCAAGGGATCACCCCGCTCGGGGCAAGACTCGCTTGCAAAATGCACAGCTAGGGCCTGGCACATCCACAGCCAAACCTGAAAGTTACGGGTTAGTCTTCAGACTAACTTCAGATTAACTTACAGTTTAGTAAGAGCTGCAGTGMAGACCTAGCCAGGGCTGTAGGGCAATACACTGTCTTCCTTTTTGAAAGCCAGCTGTAGCAGAAACACTGCCCTCCACCAAATACAGGACTAGCTCTTTCTCACACTGAGCAGTTACTAACTTGGGAGAATCCTCCTTGTGCGTGTTTACTTGAACATCCTTCCACAACAAGCACATTAATGGCTAAAGGAAAGGTCCTGCAGCATGATCGAAGCTGAATCTATGTGGCTCAAAGCTTATTATTTAAGCAGGCAGAGCTACAGAAGAAAGATGTAATTTTCCCTAGTTACTTTTGTACTATTATAGTTATTTCCTTCTGACAACAACGTATTCCTTAATGGAAAATCTCTGAATGAGAGAGCTCAGTGAAAGGGAGACACACAAAGAAACCCAGCCAAGCAGCTGGGGTAGAACAGGGCCGGGGTGATTTTCTTTCTTTGTTCAGTTTGGCACACGGAAAGGCTTCATCCTAACCCCTTCTGGGCAGAAAAGCTGTTTTGCTTTCATGCACCTAATGCTCATCTACCTGGTACGTCCAGTAAGTATCTAAAGAACCAAGGATATGATTAAAACGCAGCTGTTACTGATTTCAGACAAATGAGCTGCAGAAGAAGATCAAGAATAAAACACAGCAGATGATGGCTCTGGTTGCAGAGCTGTCCATGAAGCAAGCRCTCGCCATCAAACTGCAGCAGGAGGTGAGGGACAGGGAGCAGTTTCTGCTGACCATTTCCTCGAGGATGGAGCAAGGCCTCCCCCTTCCCCAGGACACCGAAAGGGAATGGCTGAAGGTTCTGCGCAACGAGAGGATGCACAAAGCAGCAGCTGAGGCCAGAGCTCAGGTAGGTTTCTGCCGTGTGGCCTTCACTGCTTGCTGGGCCCTGCTCTGCCTCGTGCCCCTGCGGGAGCCACCAGCCCTTGGGGAGGTGACAGGCAGGGCAGTCGCCCAAAGCACACAGGATCTCACGCATCTGCGGRGGTAGAGCTGCAGCCTGGCTTGCTCACAACTTGGTCTTATACAGAGAATCCTTCAGATGAAGAGGAGCAGTTATCTTCAATTTATAAAGTAAATTTATGTGGCAGCGTTTTGGGGGSAATGAGTGAGAGGCATCAGGGAGGAATGCTGAATTCAGTTCAATTTCAGGCTGAGGCTGCAAGGGGAAGGGAAGAGAAATACCCAAGTATGAGAACAGGAGTAGTAGAATTGCTGGGTAAAAGCAAGCAGATAGATAGCAGTGTAGCAAAGAGTGCTTCACACTCTGCCCTGCAGTAATCTATGCCTCTTTCATTATAAAAATCAGTATAAACATGAGATGTGTGTATGAGGAAGCTCTTGGAGATGGGCAATTAGCTCTGCTGCTCGAATCCTTGAGTCTGTGCTGGTCTCTCTATGGAAATTTAGGAGGAGAGCAAGGTTAGGAGGGGAATACCCAGTGCAGATATTTACAGACCTTGAAGCCAATCAGAACTTGTGCAGTAAAACGGGTTCAGGATAAGGAAGCTCTTCAGCACCCACACTGCTCCTCATGCGACGGCTCCGCTTCCCTTGGGAGCGGCGGCGCCTCTGCCGGGGCCGCGCAGGGCTCRGAGGCACCGGGGCCGCGCGCAGCAACTCGCTGCTCTCAGGGTGCTCTCCTGCTCCTGAGGGCTGCAGGAAGGGCGCAGGCCAGGCTGCTTCCTCACAAGAAACAGCCCATTACAGGCTCAAACTGCTGGGGGCAAGAAGGGCTCCCAGCTGCACCAGGAGGATGTTGCCAGCAGGGGCAGGGAGGGGATCCTGCCCCTCTGCTCAGCTCTGRGGAGGCCGCACSTGGAGYATTGGGGGCAGCTCTGGGCTYCCCWGGACAAGAGGGACGTGGAGCTYCTAGAGAGGGTCCAGCRGAGAGYGACAGAGATGATGAASRGACTGGAGCATCTCTCGTATGAGGARAGAYTGAGKGAGCTGGGCCTGTTTAGCCTGGAGAAGGTTGAGAGGGGATCTGATSAATATGTCTAAGTACCTGAGGGGAGAATGTAGGGAGGAAGGGGCCAAGYTCTTCTCAGYGGTGGCCAGTGACAGGACAAGGGGCAATGGGTSCAAGTTGAAACCCAGGCAGCTCCATGTGCATGTGAGGAAGAACTTGTTTGGTGTGAGGGTGCCAGAGCCCTGGCMCAGGCTGCCCAGGGAGGCTGTGGAGKCTCYTTCTCTGGAGATCTTCCAAAGGCGCCTGGATGCCGCCCTGTGCCCCGTGCTCTGGGTGTCCCTGCTGGAGCAGGGGGYTGGACTRGATGAKCTCTAGGGGTCCCTTCCAACCTCAACCATTCTGGGATTCTGTGATTATTTCAGAGCACAAACTTGCAAGCACAAACAGGGCCGGGAAACAGCGCTCACCTCCCAGTCGGGGTTTCCCGACTTGCTGGGCCCAGCGTGGCCATGTCTCCCTCCTCACCGTGGTGCCCCAGTGTCTCCCTCCTCCCTTGCAGCGGGCCGCCGAGGAGGCGGCGGGCGAGCAGGGCCACGCACGCCCGGCCGCCCAGCAGCGCCCCGAGGCCTACGTGCCCACGGGCGAGCGCGGCCTCCCGCTGCCGCGGCCCTACGGCGCCCTGGCCCCCTTCAAGCCCAGCGAGCCCAGCTCCAACATGAGGCACTTCAGGAAACCCCTCGTGAAGCCAATCGAAATCTGAAGAGCTCCACGGAGCCCCAGGGAGGCTGTTGGTGCTGCCGAATCTCAAGCCAGGAGCCTCTGAACTACTYTGAAGGAAGGAAGGTCCGTTGGTGTGTCCCCATTCCCATCCTGCCAACAAAGCAGCTGCGGATGCCCCAACGGTCAGTGATCCCTTCGTCCTGCCTAGGGAAGGGGGCAGCATTTAAAGTGTTAACAAAAATGAGCAATTATCATACTGGACTTACTTCTTTTCCAAGTGAAGTTTATTGCAGCTGATTATATTTTACAATACTTTCCATTAAAAAGACAAAGACCCTAGAAAACCTTCTCTAGTAATCTCTCTCCTCTGTAACAATTCAGTACAGCTGAACACAGTCCCAAGCCCCTGTACACACGGACCGGCAGGGACTCCTGCACTGGGACTGCAGTCCGAGCTTGCCCGGCAAATTGGCACTAGCATGGGAAAATATTCCACCTCCCCAGGTAGTGGGTGTGAGAGCTAAAGCTCCTGCTCCTCTGATGCCAATGACAGGGGCAGGATGGGGCACCTGCTGGGAAAGACCAAGCAAAGTGTGCGCTGGATACRGAGTTCCCGGGAATGGGATCCTTCGGCCTCACTGGCACCAGGAAGCCTCAGACCTGGAACTACCCGGAGAGGGAGTCACAGGTTTGACCTGAAGTCACGACTTCAGAGAGAGAAAAAAATCCTGTATAAATACAAGTGGAAAGCAGGGGGGACAGGACAAAACAAAACAAAAATCCTGAATCAATTGCTTTTTGAAAGTGAGATTTGACCTGCCACGCTAAAATTTGTAAGGAAAGAAATAAATAAAATTCCACTRCTTACATTTTTATACATATCTAAAACAAAACAAACAAACAAAAAGCTGTCATAGGCACTTAAAGGAGGTGGTATTTTGTGCTGCTTATAAAACCAAACACACTAGAACACAATCCCAAAGGCAGAAGCCCTGTAGCTAACCCTGACCACCACRAGGAACCAAAGCATCACTACTGAGGCACTACCACAGAACCTGACTCCCCCTTTGTTCCTCATTTCACACAGTCGTACMGAGAACACCTTTTATTAACCCAAACAGGCAAACAGTTGCCAGTCCCTTGTTACTTCACAGCACAACCTGACCACCTTTCTCAGRATCGGCCTGCTTGTGGAGTTAGTTACCTAATCTAATACCAATGTTCACAGCCTGTTTTACAGCCTGTTTTAATACCTCCTGTGGCTCCACCTGAGCACTTGACAGGATAAAATGGAACCACAGAGGAGCTTCATGGCAAACCCGCTGTGTGTCAGATTTCCCTTGGATTTATATGCAAGTCAGTAACTTCAGTCCACTCATTTCTGAATGCACTGGACTAAATACTATTTTGAGTAGCTTCCTCCTCTCAGTAATGACAGCTACTCCAACGTGAAGGTTATTTTGAAAACAACATTACATTTAAGTTAAAAGTTTCACAGTTGGGAAAGAGCGTATCTGTGCTAGCAGCAGAGCTGAGAGGCTGCTGAAGGAAACGGTCTATTTTAGGAATACTTGAGGCCCAGGAGCATCACGGTGTGTCTTAGCGCCGTCTCCTCTACAAATCTGAGATTTACTCGGTCCTGCTTTTCGCACGGCCGCAAACCTGGAGAAGCACCACGAGAAAGTTAGCACCTGCAAGCACACAAGCAACCTTCACAGCCTAGTAACATGTTCGCCTAGAATGCCCGGGGCTAAGGCACTGCACAGAGCTGTTTGCATTTACACAAACCCCTGCAGCTTCCCCTCAGTTTGGGTCAGCAAAGGCAGCTGCTCTCCAAGGGGTTTTCCAAGGTTCTCTCCAGCTGCAAAGTCTTTCCTAGGGCCACTGTGGTTTGTGTTTGGCTTCCAAACAAGCCCCATGGACAGTCATGTTGCAGCTAGTGCACAAATGCCACGTGCACTCAGGCCGGGGAGGCTTTCTTGAAGAGAGGGTCCCTACCCCAGAGAGGGGCTGGCAGACTTATTTTCAAGGCACCGGAGTGTCCTCGATCCCTCTTGTCACAACTAAGCAGAAAAAGATCTTAAAACGACCTGGGCCACAGTGAGCAAAAAGCCAAATGCAACGAGGTGTGTGCTCGAAAATGCCAGTTTAGTGGACTCAGCACAGGGGATTCGGAGGAAAGGATGGATTGTAAGTTCTCAGACCTTCCCCCCCCCACCAGAAAGAGACCCAGACCTGCACGGCCAGACACGAGCAGAGCCCTGGAACACGCAGTTATCAACACGGCCAACATACAACCAAAACGCAGCAATTACCCGTGCTCCGAAGGACACGGTCAGCATTACCTTGACTCTCTATCTCTGCCAGAATATTGGTCAGGTAATTAAGTGGCAAGAACTCTACAGGGACCGGGTGTCTCTCGGGCACGGGGCCGCGGTGCTGCAAGGAGAACGTGTCGAGTTAGGTCCAAGCTGCACAGTAGCTGGTGAAATGCTCAGTGTGTTACGGTCTACGGCAAGGGCACGAGCATCAGCACTGGCAAAGCTCAAGACAAACAAATATTCTCTCACCTGTCTCTTGCCCAGCTTCTCCAGTAAGAGTTTCACATACTTCCGTGCAAGGAAATTAGCATTTACTGGGTGATTCCAAAGCTGGTGGACTTTTTGACCAAGGGCCTGGTAAGTATTTAAAAAACAAAAACATCCTGAGAATTAAAAAATAAACAAAAAAGAAACACATCTAAAAGCAACCAGCACATACATAATCAGACTGGCCAATTTYCACCCCTTCCCACCACAAAAACAACATGCAGTTTTTGGCAAAAAGGAAAAAAAAAGATATACGGACCATAACACAGACTTTTCAGACACTGGTGATAAAAGTTAATGGGTCATAATTTTTAGCCATGGGGCTATGCGATAACAGACAGTAACCAAGAGATTGGAATAGGCTCCAATGGAACATGGGAAGCATATTTTATTTTAAAGACAACTTGCTACTCCTTCCTTGCTAGTCACTTCCCAAGGAACCCTGTAGTTTCCAGCAATCAGTCTATCCCATTTGCCCTGTTCCCCTCTGTGTGGACGCTCAGACACGGGCTGAGGCTCGAACGATGGTTTATCCATCATGAAACTCCAGCTTGGCCTCCTCCTCCTCCTCCTCCTCCTCCTCACAGAAGCAGCACCCCATGTGATGGGAACATAATCCCAATGCCTCATTTAGGACATTGGCCAGGGAACTGGTTACACTGATTCACATTTTCCCCAAGTGAAAACAAGGAGATTCAAACTCTGCCTCAGAGCTTCCTATCCGAACCACTAAGCAATCAAATAGGGGCACACTGAAATTACCTCCTGCTCTTTTCCTAAKCCAGTCTTTGCTTCCTCCCTTTCAGCCTAAGGAAACACAGGCTACTGAAAGGGCTCATTTAGGAGACGCCGAACAGCCTCCCTGTTGAGGAAATGCTTGGTTTTGATTCCACTGAAGCCATCCAGCGCATGTAACCCGAACTTCAAATAGTCCAAGGCACCTCCGAGCGCCCTTCTAGGCAAACAAACCCCTTTCTGCTTTTTTTTTCCCCAAAAAACTCTACACAGACACAACGAGGCCCTGAGGCCCCTGTGCAGGGCCAGCAGCTGTGTCCCCTGCAGCTCCTCCCTTCAGGGCAGGGTGCAGTGGCCCCCGTGGCCCCTCACACGGCCCCTCACTGACCTCCCAAGCCGGGCTCAAAGCGAGAGAACAGAGATCGTTGTGTGGGCTCCTCTGTGCGAGCCCCTCGCAGGCTGCTCCCAACAAAGAAGTCTCTGTGAAGGGATAGTGGGAAGCAGCACTCGTGGCCACGCAGCCATCTGCACAGAACAGGCAGCAGCTTGTGCCGAGACGGGCCYTTCTCCCGCAGGCACTGCCAGGGAGAACCCCGGGGTCTCCCCTGCTCAGTGACATCATATAAACAAAAAAATCCCAACAACTTCCCTTAAACCCTATGAAAACTTCAGTGCWTCACGGTGGTGGAGCAGTAGAGCAGTGCCAGTTTGGCCTGTTCGATTCCTGCAGGAAACTGGAGTCACTGGAAAGCACCAGGGATAGACCCATACTTAGGGATGCCAGAGAGCCCTACAGGATACGAGCAGCAGATGGAGAAAATGGACAAAGGTTCGGTTACACCCATCTGAATCCCAGCAAAGTCTTCCCCTGGCTTGATCCTATGCCCGAGGAGGAATTTCACATCCATCCCAAGATCCAAGAAGTGACATCCAAGAAGTTACCTCAGGAAGCCTTGTGATAATGCTGAACTTGAGCCTTTCATTCTTCTCAGTGTTGTCCAGATCTACAAGAGAGAAACCAAASCTAACAAATCTTTTTATGGCAATCACGTAACTAGAACTTCCAACTTCCRCTGAAGACATTTCAAACTAGATTCCTCTCTGTAATGAAAAAAAAATTAGTTTAAAATAAGGCCTAATAATGAGTGCTGTTTATATAGTTTATATAAATATATTTATTTGTACGTAACTTCATTTTGGGTAACAATTTGTAGAGTAGCTCAAACATTCTCACTAGGTAGAACTCCCCATATTTTTWATTTTAATATATTTACTATTTCACGTATCAAGAAAAACGGCCCCAGACTAGAGTGCCTTGCAGCCCGTCTCCTGCACGCTGCGGATTCAGGAGGTCACAGGGAAAGGCTGCAGCTGCAACGAGATGTGTGCTGGCCAGAGCTCAGACAGGCTGCAGCTCCTGAAAGTCAGGAACACGGCGGGATCAGCTTCAGCTGCAGCTCCCTCCTCTCCCCCTCCAAGGTGAGAAATGGCCTTAACACGAGTGTGACCATGGCCGCCTACAGACACCGCCAAGTTTCTCCACTCCCTGTTGGTTCCAAAGCCCTCGGTCCTGATGGYCCCACTCTGTGGATGCTGTTTGCTCCCTTCCCGCTGAGAGGAAACTCAACACACAGACAGGATCAGCTCTGGACAAATGGATCAGTCCTTCAGAACTGATTTTAGCTCCCTCTTTTGCTAACATTAAAGTGTGCTCAGAAGCCCTTTGACATACCTCCATATTTTACTGGGTGAGATTTGTTTGCTTATTTCAAATCATTCTTTCCCTACACAGAATTTSTAGCCATTTGCAAGTCCCAACATTAAGATAATCTTACCCAAACAGAATTAAATCAAAGCCAAACAACTATGTAGCAATCTGTGTTTTTGTAAGCATGACTTTTTCTACATATTGGCAAATGGAACAAATGACTAGCTGAAATCTACCTGCAATGAGGGGCACACGGAGTCCTACCCTCATCCGCTCTTTGCAGCTGGGCCCTACCTTCCGCTACCCTCRTTACTGAGCAGCACTCTGGGAGAGGCCCTGAATGTCCCAGGCTCTTGTACCCAAGTCCAAATGCTTGACAGGACATCACTGCCCTGGCAGCTGAAGAGACAAAACTCACTGCACCTTCCAGCAGTTTCCTGACACACGTTTCAGTCAGCTGCAAGACTCCGCTATCAATGTAGTGCAGGAGGGTGTGCAGAGGGAGACATCGCACACCGAGCCCCAGGTGCAGAGTGTGAAAACCTACGAGAGAGAGACAGGCCTGGTCAGCACACCAAGTAGTATTTGTCTAACAAGTCCACAGAACGTGAGGGAAAACAGCTGATCAAAAGCTGCTTAGCCTTGTTTCAACATCCTTCACTTTCTCCCAGCTACATCCCTGTCGGAAAGAGAAAACTAAGGACACTGGAAAGCAGACTATTCAGTCAAACACCTTCAAGCTTCCAGCTTGTATCCAAAGTGCRCCAGTAATTTGTGTTTTATTCCTCTTTCTTTTCTACCAAAACAATAAAGGTCTCCTCACAGTCTCTAAGAGGTTGCCATGCACATGCTTGCCCAGGCAACCAGCATCAAGGCTTCAGTTTCCCACTTACCTCAGCCAGATGACTRGTCTGGCATCAAATGAAACCACCACATGGCAACATCTGTCCACACAAAATGCAAGTATGCAGCACAAACTGATCAAAATCAGAGACTGAAGATAGATCCAAAAAAGTAAAGCAGAAAAAGATTCAAAGGCAGAATCAGACCAGACTCTATTTTATGTTTTCTGATCAAGTTCAGGAGACCCTTCGGTCCCTTTGTGCCAGCCTGTGCTTACARGCAGGCCTCGGTGCCACAGGGACCTGCTGGTGCCACACGGACCAGCCTCTCTGTGTGCAAGCCCAAAGCAACATAGATCTTGAGCTCTTCACTGGACTAAAATTTAATCCAAATCTACAGAGCTTGGCTGTAAATCCCTGTCTGCTTTAACAGATTAAGTCCTAGAAAATCTAGATACTCAATGCTAAAAAGTCTTTCCCTTTATTAAAAAAAAAAAAAAAAAAAGGCCATCTTGGCCAACTCTTCCATCTCAGGGGAAGACAATCCTTTCAGGACAAAATTAAGAAAATACTAGCAGGGCAGCAGCGTGACAAAACCCACTTTTTTTCCTCTTGGAGAGTATTTTCCCTTGTAGCCCTTGACGCTGAAGTCCAGTTGCTTAAGAAAAATAAACAGAAATCTACATTTTAGTTCTGAGCTAAAGCTGTGCCCAAGCACTCCACTGCAGTCGGAAAACACAGATCCCCAGCCCTAACCTGCTGGCTCTGCAGCCCCTTGGCTTTGCTGCTTGTGTCTATGGGGGGTCTTCCCCTCCACGAGCACATTGAACGGGTTTCAGCAGCTCCCGCGCCGCCCTGACCCACGTGCTGCTCCCCTGGGACGAATTCAGAGCTGGTTCATCCCGTGTGAGGAGGGCAACCCCCGGAGCTCACCTGGAGGCAAGGGCAGGCAGAGGCCATTGGCAGCTTCCAGAATGCGGCTCATGATGTGGAACACGGCGACCTCGGCRGCGCCTCCCCGCTGATGGCTGCGCGGGACAGAGCGGGACACGTCAGCACCCCGGGGCGGCCCAGCGCGCCGCKGCCCCCCAGCAGCTCTTCATCTAAACAGGGATCTACAAAGTTTTCGTGGTGGCTCCTTTGTCCCACTCCCACCTATTTGCRAGTATCCCTGATAGCTGGTAATTACACTAAGGGACTGGAACGTGCTGAGTGCTGCTGGGACTTGTTCCTCATTGATGTTTAACACCTATTACCTAGCGTGAGGGCACTGGGAACTCAGCAACTCTGAGCTCAATGCACATATGTGAATATATACACATATGTGAATATATACACAGTACGAGTGTGTATGAGAGTATGTTAAGCTTAGAGGGTCACCAAAATGGGTAAATGCTCATAGACCATCTCCTATCCCATGTTAAAAATGATATTCACAGTACAGAGTAAACACTGTGCAAGCAGTAAGTGCTGTTGAACACCAAGTTAAGGCCATATGTTGGAAGACAGGCTGAAAATGTTAACAAATTACTTGCTCACAAGCAGAAGATGCAGGAATGAAGCTGGTATCTCTTCCAAACTTCTTTCATCATTCGATGGACCAARTTCAGCTAAAACAAAAAGCAGAACAAGTCTAGGTGTCCTTGTACAGCAGTCCCTTCACCTCACCCATCAGTTCATCTATAAATTTATCATTTTCCTACTGCTACTTCCTTCTGAGTCCTACTACTCAGCCTTCAGAATTTCTCATCTTCCTAGTGCTTAAAGTGGCAAACTGCTTACAATATCCCAGCCTAAGGTAAGTGCTCCAGCTCATGCAAGCACTGTGCATGTAGGCACACAGTATCCCAAAATATGCTGCTTCTCAGGGACCAATGGATCTCAGACTCCTGCATCAAATTCCCCACAACCAGCTTGCCACGAAGCAAAAGCAACATCTCCAAAGGGCTGAGCGCCGCCAAGAAGGGGGCCCTGTRGCCTAGGTGAAACCGGAGCAGGCTAAGGAGAGCGGAACAGTTTGCTGGGAAAAGCYTCCAGCCTCACAGACCTTGCCCAAAATAGGAAAGAGGAGAGTGGCAAGTGCCTCCCCTCCTTGATCCGGTTTCCTTCTTGTCTACAGGGAAGTAAACCCAGCAAAGCCACCCCTTGGCCGCCGAGTGTCRTTCTGTGTGCAGAGCCACCAGCAGGGCCTTTCGGAGCTGCTGCAGAGGCTGCTGCAGCCCTCGGAGCTGCCTGCACAGCCCTCACTCTCGGGACCKCCACGGAGACACTCCTGGGCATCCCTTATTGCAGAGCCCAAGGGCTCTGCTCGACACGGAAGCCYAAGGCAGGCAGGGCCACATTACTGCTCTGCAACTAGGGACACAAGCTACACAACACCCAGAGGATGGCCAGAGGCCAGAAATCCTATTTCTCATTCCCTTTTCTTCTTGAGGTGCTGCCCCTCTGTCCCGGTAGCACCAGCCTCTTCTAGGCTCGCCASCCAACCCAGTGTCGCTCACAGGGTGCTGCAGCAGCCACACGACACAGGACAGGCTCCTGGGATTTTCCTGGTCCACGCTTTCCGGCTGCAGTTGAAGCTCTCAGCCCCAAGACAGGTTTCCCCCACTCACTCTCCAGGAAGTGAGTGTCTTCCAGCTTTCAGACAAGGGTCAGAAGGGTCCCACCTGCTGCTGCCAAAACAAGCTCCATCTGCAGCCAGCACAGGGGGCAGCTARAGCTCCTGCCTGGGCAGCGAAAGCTGTGTCTGAAATTCACAGAATCCCAGAATGGTTGAGGTTGGAAGGGACCCCTAGAGCTCATCCAGTCCAACCCCCTGCTCCAGCARGGACACCCAGAGCACGGGGCACAGGGCGGCATCCAGGCGCCTTTGGAAGATCTCCAGAGAAGGAGACTCCACAGCCTCCCTGGGCAGCCTGTGCCAGGGCTCGGGCACCCTCCCACCAAACATGTTCTTCCTCACACGCAGATGGGGCTGCCTGGGTTTCAACTTGCACCCATTGCCCCTTGGGCCRTCACTGGACAACACTGAGCCTCGGGAGGCTGGGATGAACAGGAGCTTCTCCTAAAATTRAGTTATCTTTTCTTACCCACACAACAAAAATGACTTTCACAAGGACAGTATTTCATAATCAATGTTGTTTGCTTAAGAACACATCTAACCCTTCACAGCTTTTGCAGGGTCACCGAGACAGCAACATAAGAGTCAAAGTCAACAGGGCTGTGACACCGAACATCTAAATCCAAACCCACACAAGCTCCTGACACGCTGTCCTCTGCGGTGACACGACTCGCTCTGGACAYCCGTCACCACGGGCACTGCACAAAACATATGGGGAAAGGAAGCCACGTCCCAAAGCGTTTTCAGTACGAAAGGCGCAAACAAAGGGCACAAGGGAAAGGAAACATCTGTTTTCCAGAAGCAGCACGGGCAGCCTCCTGTTCAAAGCTAACCATGGGTCTCTGGCGGAACCAGAAAAATTCCTTTGCAACAAAACCATTCCACTCTTCACAATGATGAGGTAAAATATATATATATATATATATATATATATATATATATATATATATATATATATATATATATATATATATATATTTTTTTTTTTTCCTAGGAAGGCTTTAGATCTCCCTTGGGGAGCTCAGAGCTATCTGGAGAAGACAGAGGGGTGGCTGCACGGAGGAGGGCCTGGGCTAACATCTTCAGCAGCGCCTTCTCATCTTGAAACACTCGTGTTTCTGGGCCGAGGTGCTGAGGAAGCTCCAGTTCCCCTGAAGTCATTAAGGAGAAGAAACACTCAACTCCCACACATTTTCTGCAGGAGCAGCCCCACCAGCAGCCAAAGCAAGAGCATTGGGAGCAAAGGGAGCAGGCTGAGGCCTCRCTGCCTTCCAGAAGCCAGGCTCTGTAGGGGATAGGAGGGAATTTTCTTCCTTCTGCGGAAACCCAAATCCAAATGGACTCTTTTTTCTACTTCTCCCCAGCGGGGAACACTTCCRCTAATGAGCTATAGACACCTGCCAAGCAGGTGCAGTCACAGCAGTCACCTGCAGGGCTCTTTCTCCAGCCCATTCTGCTCTCCCTGCCTGTTCACTCTGCCTCCTCTTCCAGGCTGCTTCTACAGACAGGCTGCCCACCTACCTGTTCAGCTGAAAGAGCTTCTGAGAAGGGCAGCCAGGGAGTAAAGCTGCCATAAAGAGACTGTAGGAGGCAAACACACAAGCCAATTCATTTCAAATCCTGCCTGTCTCATAGCTGTAGCACTGCTACACACAGCTGGCATCACAGAAAACTGTTAGGAGAAGCAGTGAAATGATTCACTCCCTGCTTCCAAACACTTAGAATATATAAAGGTCAGAGATGTGAGAATTTCTGACTAGGAGAAGCAGGAACCCAGGCCTAACAATAAAAGGGTTTCTATAGATAAATGATCTAGCAACATGTGCAAGACAAGGGCTTGTCTTTGTTTAGAGTATCTTCACCAAAAATCAGAAGTCTATAAATGGAATTATTTTTTAGTGAAGTTAAAAAAAAGTTGAAAAGTCCTGAAGCGGAGCACACATTCTGCTTCTTTTCAGCACCGTTTCACAAACAAAAGTGGACTGTGCTATACTGCTCCTATTTTTATCAGCCCTTAGTTTTCCCTTTCCATTCATAAATAGAAATTCATAAATAGGTGTAGCTGGAGCTACACACCAGCAATACAGCTTGACCAGCTGGTTCACTGGTAGAGTGAAACTTGAACCGGTAACCTCAACACGTTGTGGTGGGGCAGCTATTATTGATGCAACTGACCTGCACAAGACTTCTGAAAAGATGCAGGCACCAGCAAAGTAAATTTCTGGAAATGTCCAGCTTTAGGAACCAGCAGGATGGGGAGTTTTTGGCAYCCAGTGGCTACACAGATTAAATTCTAATGAACCCAGGGCTGGCACAAACAACGGGACTGACAAGTTGCCAGGTGAGCTCGGAGTGGCCTCACTCTGCATGCTGCACTGAGATCGTTTGGGACGAAGATGAAGAAAAACAGCTACAATAATTTCTATGCACAGCAACAGGCTCCTATTTTACAACTTACTTCTTCAAGTTTCTCTCAAAATGRTGAAAAACTGAAAAAATAAGGAAGCTGAAGCAAGTTTGCACTGCAGGTTATATGGGGTTGTCTGGGCTGCTGCAAATTAACTTCTGCACTGCACTGGGGTGAATTGTTTTTCTTAATCCACCTTTCCCCAGCAGAGGCACCTTCATTGTTCAAACCATAAGGCAGATTATAGCAAACAAAATAAATGGTTCTAACACTCCTCTGGCACTTTCAGGATGAGTTCAGATTTTCACTTCTGGGAACAGACCAAATATGTACAAGCTGCAAAAGGAAATTGTTCTGTATTCTGAGTGTCCAGCATGATTCTTTTAAATACTGTGTAAGCATTATTATTTAGTCTATAAATACATAATTATTAAGCAGCAAGATATAGTTAGAGGAAAAATAACTTTAAAAAAGCCTCCTCCCACCACACACATGCTGTATGAACACAGCGTACACACCTCCCTCTGCCCCCAACCCTTACATGCTTATTCACATTAGCGAGTAGGGACTCACACTAACCAGATTTGCAACGTAATCCAAAACTATCTGGTCAATCTTCTTTTTTCCTACGTACTGGAGATGCCTCATGAGGTGATCCTTTAGCTGGGCGACCATCTAGAAAAACAAGGAAACAATTCAGAGTTCCTATGCTCTCTTGAAAGACTCAAAAGCTACTAAAAAAATATACTATAATCTACCCAAATGAGTACTAAGTTAACTTTCAATGGCTCTTAAGAAAAAGCTTAGATGTGTTAAATTTCTTCAAGTCAAACCAAGTTAAACTTGGTAAGTATTGGCTACAGCTTTCCTTACCTTTCTTCTAAAAGAACAGCAAGGAGAAAAGTTTTTGACATGAATGGCAATTTTGAGAGTAAAACTAATTATTATATACAAATAAATGTGTGGACTTAACACAGTTAACTAGCACTAGCACAACTGAGTTTCAAGTTAAATAAAAATACTTAATGAAATGCAAAATCAAATACAAAGTCTTTAAAATCAGCTAATTATTATGAAAAGGTCTGCACCACTGTCTGAGCTGTGCCCTCCCTGTAATATTAGGTGACTTCTCCTCTGTGATTTGGCACATCTGGCTCCTGACTGAGCAATACTATGAATCGTTACTTGTATCAAAGTCCATTAAATAACTAAAAAACCCACTTCTGCCTCGAGCAGTTTACAAGCAGATTAGTCTCCGTGTGAGAGGAAGGCAATGCAGTTGCTGGGAAAGCAGAGAGAAAAGAGAGGGAAGATGTGCTTCTTGCTTCTGAGTAAACTGAAGGGAAAGAATGCAAAAGTTTCAGAGGATGAGAGGCAGAATTTGGAAWCATGGAGGCGCTGGACTGACAGGTCAGTTGGACTCTTAAGAGATGCAGAATTGAGGCTTTCCGAGGTAAGCTGAAGAGTTTAAGTTGGTGATACAGCATCTAATAGTAAAAGACCAAGAGGCAAGCTAAGATGTGCACGGAGACAGAGGGAGGAAAAGCAGGGGGTTGAGGTTAACATCCAGAAGCATTAGGGCAAGAGATGAAAACAAGAGAAATCACTGGGGAAAAATGGGGAAAAGAGGCAGTGGTCTCAGAACAGTCCTCGAAGTGAGGTAGAGGGAAAAGAYGTCACCAGTCAGAAGGTGTTAACTGGAGAAGCAGGGCAATATTCCATGATCTTCTCCAACAGAATCACTGGGAAGGGAAATAACCAACGCAGGTTTTAAGGGCTTAAAGCAGTCTAAAAAAAACAGCAGGTTAAGATGAAGTTCAAGAAAGATGGAATAAGAGTTTCTAGCCACAGAAAAGTTGTACTGGGGAAAGCTGCTTTGACAATTTAACCTTTTCCTACTGTTTTTCTCCTGGGCCTCATGGTATCTTGACCTATTAAGAAGGAAGCCAAGAACTCTGACACTCTAGGGAACATCAGGTTTGTCTCTTTGCTGCTCTGAGCGAGCTTCCTCCTCAGCACTGGGACGTAGAGCCTGAAGTCCTGAATTTGCTGAGTTTGTGCGTCCTCTAGCGTGCAGGGTGAGCAGAGCACGTACCAGTCCCATCAGCAGCTGCTGCTGAGCGTCCTCCTCCTGGAAGAGAGGGGGGAGCCTTTCCTCTGAAAGAAACAGCAAGAATCACTCAAGGACACGGTGCTACAGAAACACCAGGAGACTGCAATCAACTRTAAAAGCAGCAGAAAAACACACACAACAACAAAAGTTGTGCTTCTCTTCACTCACCTTAAGAACTAAGATAGGGACAGAATCAAGGATTGCTTAAGAGAACACAGAAATGGGAAATAACCCCATATCTTCCATCTTTCTCCTCAAATGTTTCAACATGGTCTTTGCATAAACACCACAAGCCTGTTGCACTATTTCCCATTCCATTTGCATGTCCTTTTCTTTGATATTTAAAAGGAGTATCACATTGTGGTAATTAAGGGCTAGGACAACCACCTGGATACATCAGTGCAAACAGCTRGTTGGCTTCTCTAAGGAAAGAGCCCCTCTTCAACAGCCTGTCTGCTTCTGTTATTTTGATTTGTTGATGTARAGAAACATCTACATGGAAGATGAATATACGAAAAGTATATTCACCCATCCAGAAAGTCCTGAGGAAGAGCAGAAAACCTGACTGATTTATCAATGAGCATCTCTGGAAACAYGCCAGGAGACTGAACCTGAGGCAGCTCTAAAGGGACAAGAGTCAGCAGTAACATGGGGTCACCTACACTCTGCTCCAGAAGAAAAATCCTGGAGAAATGAAGTCTTAGGCAGTGGAAGGTTTAAGGCTTATGTTAAGCTAGAACCTTTAAGTAGCAGTAATAAGAAATAAAGGACTCCTAGTCAGTATATGATTCTATCACTACTACCAGAAAGAACCTGGTTTTCCTGTAATTAACTAGTCATCTTCATCCCTCAAACTCTTCAGTGCTGAAAATGGACGTGGCAGTTTGTTTTGTCTCCTACTCTGGAGGTCTTCAAAACCCGCCTGGATGCCACCCTGTGCCACATGCTGTAGGTGTGCCTGCTTGAGCAGGAAGGTTGGACTAGATGATCTGCAGAGGTCCCTTCCACCTTAAATATTCTGTGAATCTGTGAATCTGTGTTTTTCAGCCAAGAAGAGCTAGATGGAAAGACTCTTAACAAACCTTCCAGCTAAAGCCTACACATACGTTTTACTCACCGCAGTCCCAAGTGTCCAGATGAGACAACACCCTGGGGTTGGAAACAAAAATTGACTTGTTTCACAAATATTGCTCTACAGAATTTCTCTAGGACATCAAAAAGCTTAAACAATCTTTTGGTTTTCCAAAATGAGAAAAAGAGATCCAAGAATCATAATTATGACTTTATTTAATAAAACTTTAAATAGTGTAAAAAGAATTTTATCTGCCTAGGTGGCATAAGAAGACTTCTAGCATAAACTCCCTAGGGCAGGAGGTCTGGATATTTCAGATCAAGAGGTAATGATCTTAAGGTCTCCAACACTCGATTATCAGCTATATTACTTTATTCAAAGTATCTCATCAGGTATCTAATGAGTCATGCTGAAGAACGTGTCGAAATCTTTCAGCATATTTCAAACAAACAAACAAAAAAAGTAAATACAATAGGAAGTACTTACTTTTTTGCATTTTCAAAAATATTCCTCAAATACGCTGTGGTTCTGCTTTCCTCTTTCTGAATTGTAAACAAACAAAAATCTCCAAATGAACAAACAAACCAGAAAGCCAATTAAAATACTTCCTGATAAAAGGCAAATGAGAAATTAAGTTGATTTTCCCTTTAGATAGAAGTAAGCACAGCAGCCCTTCCATCAACCTTCCCATCACCTACACGCAGAGGYAGCCCCCACATCTAAGCTGCAAGACAATTACAGGTATGTGCAAGCTCTGCTTTTGTTTAGCTTCATTATTTTTTCAATATTTATTTCAATATTTATTATTAGATTCATCATTATTCACAGTTTAAGTTTTCACAGACAATGATCTTGTAAGTAAAATGACTGAAAGTCTCCACACCTCTTGCAATTAGTTTCCCATTTCTTATGCCAATTACATCCTTGAAGAATTCAAAACAAAACAAAATAATAAAAACAATAATAAATAACAATAATAAATCTTCTATGTTTAGCTTTGAAACCTAAAGAGATCTCATTTAAGAGAAGGCTCTGGAGGCTATTTCCATGAATGCAAACTTACCTCTTGGGAAAGGTTAAGCCATTCCCTCCTCAGGACATTGTTGTGGTAGTGCAGGTGGGGCTCTGCGTACTTCACGCTTTCCAGGTTTAAGTTAAGTTTATCCCAGAAGCCTTTAGAGTTTTGAACCTGCAAAACATTGCAGGGAAAACATGAATACAAGCTGCACAAACATGTAAATATCTAGTAAACCTATCCCGAAATGACTGGAAGGAATGGCAATAATTGTAGTTATATAATAATATAGTAGGGAAAAAAAGAACCAGAGCAGTTGCATCCTTTTTTCAACAGTTCTTAAAATTCATCCTAAATGTTCTTTACATTTAACAGGAGGGRTAGGATCTACCTGTACCTGAGCTGCAGAGCTGGTGGCTGCAGTGCAGGTAGCTGCTACCTTGGCCTGTTTGCAGTCCCTGGGGAGCAAGGGATGCRCCTGCTGTTTGGTTTAGGAAGGGGAGGACCGTGGCCCACGCTGACCACCCTGCCTGGAGCTCCATAGCCTCTGAAAGGTGCCCCAGCCAACTAACCCGCATGAAAACACCTCTAGCAGGTCACACAGATCCCACTCTGGTTTCCTAGTAGCTACAACCCTGGCACTTCAGGCTAGCAGTAGTTCCAAGCTGCATTAATACTTCCACTAGAAACATCCATTTGCCAAGAGCAGACTCGCAACCCACAAGAGAAACACAATCCAAACATTCCCACAGCAGTTCTAAAACCTTTGACTCCAGCGCTGAAAGGGACTGAAACCCAGCTGTGACCAGGCAGGAGGAAACAAACTCACACGCACTGGTTTCCTGAGCCARTTCCTAGGCTGGCTAGAGAGATTTAAGGCCCCTGACCATGACGGGGTGGTGACTGAGATGAAAACGTGGTACTTGCACTTCCCTTCCCTACCCAGCCACCTTTCCAGCAGAGATCCCACAGTAGAAACATTAGAAAGTAAACAGATTGGATTTACAGTGTTCCCCTTGCTTGTTACAACATGCTGGATTTTTCAGAAAAAAGAATGGATCACCACAGTACCTTGCATAAATGTCACCAATATGAAAGCACTGGGGGAAAGAAAAATGAGGACTAGAGAGTAAGGGTATCATCTAGTGACCAATTTATGCAACTGCCACAGCACTGCCACTGCAAAGGTGCACTTTGCACAAGTGTGCTTTATGGCAGGGGGAAACAAGAGAGCAAGTTTCTTTCCTACATTGTCTCTGCCAGGAAGGGGTAGACTGTCAGGAATTAAAAGCAGACACCACCGAACATATGCACTGTCTTTAGGTCTTATAAAAAAGTAAAAAARAAATGAAAATAAAGGATTATTGTAATTAAATCTGTGATCTTCCAGGCAGAGATTTGAGAGGGAAGGCTCCTTCACGCAGTCTGAAGTGGTGCTGATTCTGCAGACGTTTCTGGCCTGTCAGGAATTAACTGCKGAGCGTGCAAGAGGCAGCAGGCGAGGAGCTCGCAGAGCCCCTCCCCAGCACAGCCGCAGGGCGCTCCCTGCCCTGCTCCCGGCGGGAGGACAGGGCCAGCGACTACCAGGGCTTCACACAGGGGCACCCGCCTCCGCGGGTGGCTGTGACACCCCCGCCAGCACCCAGGGCCCTCAGGGGCTGGGTAACCAGCCAGGCGGGCACTGCAGGGGTCTGCACTCAGGCCGCAGCAGAGGGGAGGGGAAGGGCGGCCCTCTCCTCGGCCCAACTCCCTGCACCCCTTGCTCCTCTTCAGTTCACTCGGCAATTCAGGAGCCTGAGAACTTGATAAGGCTCCTCAGGAGAACAACTCGCTGCCTTTTCAGTGAGATACTGTAAAATCAGATGCAACAGAAACACATACAGGACCAGATTCTTCCCCAGGCCTGAAGGCAACGTGGACCAAATACCAACCCAAGGCTGAGGTTCAGGCTGTGTGTGCCCGGAGTGCTACAGAGCACCCACAGCAGTAAACCCTGCGTATTTATATCTGTCCTCACCGAGAGAAAGAGCTATCTGCAGTCAGAAGCTGCAGGAAATATRTGTCTGTAACTCAACTCTGACCTTTCTGGTCTGTTTAGGTTTCAGACAGAAATAGGAAATGAGTTCCACAATCAGGAAGTATAGCTGCTAAAGGCATTTGCCCCCAGGGATCTGAGGTTCAATCTCAGACAAATTAAAGGCCCGCTGACTCTGCCCCTAGTGAAGTACACGGATTATCTGGCAACACAATTTCAAGGTCAGGTTTCCCAGGTGCCTCCCAGCCCTCGGCAGCCTCCCCAAGCAGAGCACACAAAGCTCAATCACAGGCAGCAGTCGTGGGAAGTGCTCCGGCTGCAAGGCAGCTACACGGGAGCGAGGGGGCACCCGGGAGCTTCACCCACTGCACTGGGTTCTGCGAGAACCCATTTCTGCTGAGAATGCCCTAAAACCCGGACCATCTGCTGAGATTGCTCTAAGTACCCAGAGAAAACCAGCTCTGGCCTTACACAAGTTCAACACGACACAATGTTCTTGTGCATCAAGAGCGTGCACCCAAAGGGAACAAGAGACCACTTGTGGGTAGCACTGGGAAAACGTGAAGTGTTTTCCTAAATCGCAGACAGCAGAGGAAGGGAAAAGGAAGACGGGAAGAATCATTCATCTTGTTTTCAATGGAAAGTACAGTTTCCTACCCAAACAGCATGTGCTCCTCCCCATCCAGCTCACTGCCTTTTCCAGGCTGTACAGGAAGGTGTCTAGATTTAGGTAGCCAAATCCCTGACATCAGTGCAATCACAGGATGCTCTGGACAAAACAAAGGGAGGGTCATGAACCACAATACCAAGGGGAGCACAGTGAAATCTCCCTTGAGTCATTCCCACCAAAGTGGGAATGCACACTGWGAAATTCCATACATCTTTTGTGCCAAGAGGTTTACCTGCAGCTTGCAAAGTCACAAAGTGACAAGGAATCAATCCAATCTGGAAAGAATTTATTCTTGGAGAGGGTCTTCCCTAGAGGGAAGAGGAGGCTGAAGTAGTCTCTTAAGAAAATAAAAAAATACACACACACACACACTTTTGACCTAGCAAACATCAGTCAAGAAGACTGATATTGTATGGAAAGGGTCACACATTTACAACAAGTCAATTTTCTGTTCACCTGTATTTTTGGACAGGGCTGTGCACTCCAACACTGTACTATATAGTTTTAAAAAGAAGAAACAAAGCTCCTTCCTGCCAGTATGACCGTATTTTTCTATAGAAACTCACCTCTAATATAGGAAGAGAAATAATGTCTGTTGTACATGTTACTCCAGGGATTACCTATAAATACATACAAACATTAAGAATACAATTCACTTGAATTAAAACAGTCTATTGGAGTATSTAACTGAATTTCTGTTACCCGTGTCCTTTGGGAAATAATCTAGCTAATCCAAACAGTACATTCAGTTTTGCTGAAGAGAAAGAAGGCATTTTCTCTGRTTGATCCCATTTAAGAAAAGATAACATTATGACACAGTAAGTTCAAATTTGCTCTTTGGTCTGTGGTAACTGCCTTGAAGTTATTTTACTTCTGCAGACTTACTCATAAACCTTCAGTCTCTCAAAATAGTTTGTCTTGAAAATAACTGCTGGTTAAAGATGCKTTGTATCCATTACAAATATCATACAATAGGCCAGTAGTTTCTTGTTCCAAACTCTAGAAAATTAATGCTCCCTTACATTACAATAACTTGAACTCCAGTAACATTCTATAAATGAAGTTATCTGAGGACATTAGGACTTGTGAAATACACTACTGATGTTAAGATTTGACAAAATAAAACTGTTATAAAGCACAAACATGGATTTAGAACATACTGAGAAGAGGTGATGTATACAACTCATATTGTAATACAAGYTGCATCTCATATTGCAAGTTCCATTAAAGGAAAATAGACTCCCTCCAGTTATTAATGGACTAGTTGTCCTCTTACCCCAGTCCAGTCAAGCAGGGAYGTGTATGGAAGAAGTTTATCCAGATTGTACATTTCTGGACACATTCTGCAGTACAGGGAGGCTGTAAAAAGGTTGAGAAGTGCAGGATTAGGTAAACYGATCTGTAATCGAGAACACGCTTTCCAGTCTGCTCCGTGTCTGTCCAGCACTTGCTTAGGGACAAACCCTGCTGCTGCCTCCAGAGCAGCCTCCTCAGTGGTGGAACCGGTCCCGTCCTGCAGGGAGGAAGCAGGGAAGCGCAGCCGGGCGGGCGCCCTGGCTGCAGCTCAGCCCTGCTCGGCTCCCAGGGCACCTGGGACACGCTCCCAAACTACTGACATTGCCACATGAAGATCTATTAATACAGATTATAATCAAAATGTTAGGAAAAAAAAGAGAGTCAATTTGTGACATTGTGGCTTCTCCTTAAATTGCAAGTTAGGTATTCTACCCTAGTAGGAAGGAAAAAACACCTACCAATGATGAATTCTTGAATGGGGTCAAAAGTATGGCATGTGGACAGGTTCTCAGCAATCCACCAAATGATCTGTAAGAAGGACAACAAGGTCATTTGTGACACCTCTCTGCTTAAGCCTATGTTGTTAGAGACTGGAAACAGGTCACAGGAACCTGGATTCAGCTCCTTGATTTTGGGACCTATTTGGGATCAACATTTTCAGAACAACTTTGGCCAATAAAGCACTTTGGTCACAGTAAAACAATAATAAAAAAGGCACTTTGGTCACAATAAAGCAGCCCAGCTGACGAGTTTCCTGGTACTCCCAACAGGCACACACAGGTCAGGAGTGCTTCTGTTTGACACCATCCCCTGCCCCTGCTTTGCCCGAGGTGCCAGCCAAAGCCCCCAGAGCAGCTTCTCTTCCCACCTGCCTTTCCAAGGCTGCTGTGCTGCCAGCACAGAGGAGGGCACAGTGCAGGGCCGCCAGCCTGTCGCCRTCCCGCTCGCTGCTCCGCAGGAAGCGCAGCAGGGCGCTGCTGCTGATGYCCACGGCGTAGAGCCTTCCGGCCCAGCGATCCAGCACAGTCGACGCCAGCGGGCACTGGACGGAGCCCTTGGGCAGCAGGTCAATTCTTGCATCCTCACCTGAAGGACATAGGTTAGAGGAGGGAAAGCCCCAGAATGTCCCATCTGGCTGCTACCAGCACCATCCCCTCCCAACACTCCCTAGTCCCCAGCAGAAACCGTTTGTCCCCAGYACTACGTGCACTGGTACTGTGCGGAAGAGAAATGTTGTTGGCTGAGGAGTGGGAATAAAGAGGGAGCAATGTCCACACCCAATGCAATCCTTGCCTCCTCCTGCAGCAGAGAAGCTGCACAGATCTGAGGCCCACAAAGCAGAACAGAACAAATGAAGATACGTAGGACAGGGCAGGACAGGGCACCAGGCCACAAATACAGGTGGAATAGGGGACCTGGCACCTAAGCGTGGCTATAGCTCAGAAGTCTCATGTTTACAATCACGATGCATCCTCATGTTATTAGGCTGCTTCTCAGTTTTCCCAGGCAGACCAATTACAATTATGAGTTAAAGCATTGGCTCAAATTCACTTTATCTAGGCTAGCAGCACACACCCCACACAGCACTACACTACAGGACTCCAGGGCCTCTGCACCAGAGAAATCAGGGCCACCCCTGATTTCTTCACTCACCTCCAGCAAAATAGTCAAATAAACAGAGGGAACAGCCACACGTTTGGTTTCTGCAGTGCCCCTGCAGCAGTGCCCACTGCTCAACTCCCCTCATCCAACCACGAAAAGGGACTTTTGCTTTCAAACAAGCACCCCTCAAAAATAATCCATTTTCCATAAGGATGTGTTTGTTGCAAATAAAATAATGTGCCTCTCAGATGAGACTCTAAATCAAGTTGCATCAGTCTGATCAGGTGAAGGAAACACAGATTTCCTCTCCCCACACCCTCCAAACAGACACATTTAGAGCAACTCAATTGGAGGAAGGAAATGTAAAATCAAATTTACCTCTACATGAGAAATTGGAGAGCAGCAGAGAGCCAGTAAGCGTGGGCAAAGGTGGGGGAAAGGAAACTGTGAAACTGATGCAACAAACTTCAAACTCCGTGATAGCTCTTCTTCCATTTCACAAGTTAGAAGTATGTAAAGGATGAAGTAAGAAAGATTACAATCTCTTTTTAAAATGGAAGAGGCAATAACGTGATTCTTATTTTTCAATTTCTCTTTTAGGGCACACAGTGCAATAAAGGAACTATTATGGAAGCTCGACTTTCCTGTAAAGAGCTTTGAACAAGTTTTCACCACACTAAGAATTACTTGGAAGCAGTAGTCTTACTGTACCTGTCAGAAACAAACTATAGCACAGGAGATCAGGATGCTGAATATTCAGGAGGTGCAGGAACTGGCCAGGTAAATAAGCAGCCACATAATAATCTATTTAAAGAAATAACAGGTAATTCAGTACTTGTTCACTTATTTACTCRAAGAGGTCATTTCACATGATTCTCATCATGCCCCATTTCACTTTGAAGGAATTAATTTTGTCTAGTAAATACAAAAGGAGTTAATTAAAATCAGCTGTTGTATTAACACAGGAAATACTGTAACTACATTTGAATTTCCAGGGGAAGATTTAAGAGGTTAAAGACTCTCAAGAACTCACCAACTGATTGCTAGAGTAGAAGCYGAGGAAGTTTCAGAGACAGCTACTTACTCACTGGGAGATATTGCAATATCAAATGCCAAATATGAAAGTTTCCTTTGCTTTTAAGCAAAAAGGAAAAACAAAAACTTCACCTGAGAAGAGAATTAGCCATTTGTCTCCCTGCCAGGGACAGAGAATGACAGTCACACAGGAAAACACCACCAATCACCTACCAAGGTTCAAAAAAGCCACTTCCTTCAATTGGTGGGTTTCTGCTCTTTCTAGAGAGACTGTGAACGTTTTGTTGTAACCTGGGGGAAAAATAATAAAGAAAAAGAATCCAWCTGTTACAAGCTACATTACAACTTTATTGCTAAAATTTTCAGCAGTGCAAGTTTGCCCAGACAGTGACATTTCAGGCTATTTTAAGCACTTATCTGTGCAGACGGATTTACTTCACACTAAACAGAGCTGCTACACACACAGCAGACCTGCACCCACGCAACACAGCTTTTAGCATACAAAAAATGGCCACACTCCACACAGCCCATGTTCCTGTCTCAAGCTTTCCATTCCAGACTGAGCTTGTGTGCAAAAATGCCTCCCCCTCAAAAACCAAAATCCTTTTTATGGTTGTGCCTCATGTTTTGGTGATACTTGAACTGCTTTAGAGAACCYCCAGCTATTTATCTGATTATCCTGTTGCTCCAATTTAATTCACCTCAGTTTAAGGCACTAGCTACTTCCAGACCAACTRTACTTGCATGGACTGAGCATCAGCACAGATGTTCTTTTAGCCTTGCACCAAACCTCTTCCTTGGCCCAGCAGGTAGAGCACAGAACTCTAGGTCATCAAACTCTAAAAGAAACTGACGGTTCAGGTAACTGGAGGATATATACTACCTAAAAATGGGTGAAAACACACAATAAAGACAGATCTACAGTTTGTAAGATCAATAAAGGGAAAATGAGAAAAAAAAAAGGGGGGGGTGAACTGTGTTTCCCCCAACCATTCAGGTGGACAGGACTTTGATTCTTGATCCCAATAAAATTTTCATGCTGCAGCMAAGAGAAACAACAACAAGCATACAGATCCAGAGAAATGTGGACAAGAAACCTGCAATGTCACTGCTTCTGTTCCGGTGCTACATCAGCATTCTGGAAGGGACCTGCACTCCCATGGAAAAGCAAGTCCTCCTCCCGAGTGCAGATGCTGCAGCACACAGTGACCTCGAAAGGAGTCACAAAAAAGGGACCTGCTCCTGATACACTGCTACCTTTGTGGCAGTAACACAGATTCAGAAACAACTCCATGACAAAAAATAAAATAAAATGAATGAAACCTCATCCACCCCATTCCACGGCCATTCCAGCTGTAGTTGGCCATTCTCACCCCCATTTTTACCCTTACCCTCCTGGATACACACACACACACACACACACACAAGGAGATGGGACCCTCCTCCTCCCACCACACCATCAGCACAGGGCACATCTAAGGAGGTCAGCCCTTCACTGTGAACCACTGTTGAGTGCTGGCCCACCCAAAACTGCTTCTGCACAGTTTGCTAATGCCCTCGAGAACACCAAACACTCAGTTCCAGCAGCAAAGCAACATGTTAGTGCAGCTCCCAGCGCTCAAGTCCTCAGTAATCTCCCCAAGGCTCAAAAGCAGAGACTTGAGGTAAAACAGAAGCACGTTGCCTGCTTGAACATGGCTATTCCATTCTATGCAGCTTCTTACTGAAAAATAATTCACCTGTCTCCTCCATTTAACAAATTAAAGATATTTTGCAAATATCTCTGATCAAGACAAAGAAAGCTCCATTCTTTCCAAGATAATAAATAGAGTCTGAAACTAAGAGCTAGGACCCCACTTACATATACCATTCTTAAAGTCATACTACGCATGTAAAAATTAAGTGGAAAAATGACCTGGAACTCCACACACACGTTCAAGCTAAGAGCTGCTGGCTTCCTTCTCTTAGGGCTGAGTCCTTAGGCCTAAAGACAGCAAACCTGCAGCTCCTACAGGTTTCACCGGTGCTGCTTGTGCTCAGCATGTTGGAAAGACCACCTAGAAATATCCTGTTAATTGTCACCGTGAAGTCACTGGCTTGAAGCAGCTCATTTGGTATCAGGCAGCAAGTCTGCAGCCATGCGCAGCTGCTGGCTCTAAATCCCCAATCCTTCTGTTGTCCACAGCGTGAGACAGGTCCTTGTTCTGCCAAGCAGTCTGTGACTTCCCAAGTGTACCCCCCCACCAAAAGCAAAGCAAGTGTAACTGATGAGGATCACCTTACCTTTATGTAAGAAATATATGGAGTATGTTATTTGATCTGGAGCATCAGAGGCTAAGCTGCAACACACACACAAGCCTCCTAAAAAAGACAAAAGGGATGGAAAATTGTGTACTTGACTTGTAGACATGGACACCTTCATGCTGCACAAACTAAMGACGGACTGTTACAGATCAGAAATGAAGAATAATCTCTCAAAAAAAGGCCAAAATATGGAAATACATGTTATGCATTTCTTTAACTACCCCTTATCTAGTGATACACAGAGTGAGAACAAAGAAGGGGATGTTGTCCCTCTGGGCAATGCCATTCTGGGCTCCAGCAGAGCCAGTTCTGCTGCACATTTTCAGCCCTTCCCCACAGACCTCAGGCTCATGGTCAAAAAATGATCCAGACTGACTCCCCTCAGCTTACCTCAAAATCTCTAGACACCTTATGTTAAAATGGTATCAAATATTCATAGAACAAGCTAGTAAAATACAAAGTTCATTGGCTTTCTAAATAATCAATTCATATCATCAACAGCTTGATAGGCTATTAGAGCTTCTCATACTAGAAATTCCTTTAGCTCCTTCTGTGCTCTCCAGTCCAAAGAACCACATTTTGTTTTTTTAGGAGAAAAGAGAGTCCTTGTCACAAGCCTATTTCAACTGAGGTACTCTGGGCAGGAATGCTCTTCCCCTCCTAATTCTAAATCATACTGATAGACTACTTGGATAGTGCTTATCTCTTACTAAAAGCAAAACACCACACTTGAAACCACCTCTATGTCTTGGCAGGCTGCTTTGGCACTCACATCAGAAAGGGCTTCCAAAGCACATTCTCCTAACTCAGCTGGGAGAACTGAACAACAACTATTGCCATTCAGTTCTTTTAAGTGATGAATTACTAGCAAAGATAAAAGCACTGCTAATGTAAGTATTCTTCTGTTAAAAAAAAAAAAAGTTCATATATACTAAGTATACAGAAAAAATAATGCTGTATACAAAGTATACAGGGAGGGAAAAACAAAAAGCTCAAGTACAAAAGCATAATTAGAAAGATATTTTACTTAGTTAAATGCCTAGTATGTCAGACCACAAGGCTGTACCATAACTGTGACACAAATCTGACCAAGGCACCTCATACTTTTAGGAAAGGTAAATAATTTTCTGAGATTGTTTTTTTTTTTCCTGCTTATTCTCACCAGGTTCAATACGGATGGGAAGCCTGATGCAGTTTTCCTTGGATATTTGAATTATTCAGACAACAGAAGGGGCATTTTGCCCGGGCTCCTGGCATTTTTCAGAGCATGMATAATTTTTAGAGTAGCAGCATCAGGGCTCAGCAGGGAGATTGGGCTGGATCCAGCAAGGCCACGATGCTGTTTTATTACCAACAGCTCCACTCTGACACTACAGATGTCCTCCTTGCAAACTGGAGGATAAAGTTATGATATCCCATAAATGTCACAACGCGCAAGTGGATGCAAAGGAATCTATGCAGCTTAAGGTATGTGCAAGCTGATCACAAAAAGCAGTGGCTCTGGGGACTACTCATGAGATGCATGGGCTTCCACCCCCAGGATACTGGTCAAAAACATTAACAACTTGAATTACAAATGATAACTATTAAATGGTGCTTCATTAACACAAATAAAAGGAGCATGACCGTCTCAGCGCAGCAAGTGCCCAGAAGGTACCATTACAGCTAATACTGTCTTGGCAGCCACAGAGCTGCCATTGAAAACGTAACAGAAGTTTGAGTTTAGTGCTACAGTATGAGAACAGAGATACGTGGAGATAGATTGGCACAGATTCCTTACCTTTTCAGGAACTAAAAAAAAAAAATCTCAATTAATAGCAATGAAGAGGGTCAGGAAAAGGCAACATATAGAGTTCTATCATTGTGCAGAATGATAGTAAGTTTCTATTTTCAGCAGAGGTAACAGTAACATCTTTGCCACTTGGTAAATAAACAACACACCACTGAAATGTGGGGAGTCATTTGCACAGACCTGAAGACACAAAGCCTTTGCCAGGAAACTTCAGTGCACCCCCCAACTTCTCTTCACTCAAACTTGAAAACAGGAGGCTCTAACAGCCCCTCAACACAGCACTGGGTGCCCTGCACTTCAAACACACACTCACACCACAGCATTAGGTCTGCTTGACCATGCTCAGGAGAGGCTCGTCTCACCTAACCTCAGTCACCCAAACATCACCAACTTAGGCTCCTTCTACAGCATTGAAGGAAAATGGAAGGAGTCCTCTGAAAAGGTTAATTTCTCTCTATAAATGTAGTCCAGACACTTAACTTTTACAKAGATAAAACCAGGTGAGGGTAATGCAGGAGTTTTACTATCATGCTGCCCTCCTTTTTCWGAAAATCCAGGAAGTTTCACAGAAAAGTAATTCTAAAGCATCAGAAGAAAACACAACCACAAATAACCAAGAGCTGAACACACACACTCACTTCTAAGATTAGAAGTGTTTGATCTGTGGACATTTTGTCTTGTTTGTGCTGAATGTGAGCAACAGGGCTACTTTCTTGCTGTTATTTGAGAGAGTGGGTGATTCCATTCCAAGTTCAGATCTGCTCTAGTCAATTACAGTTTTATCAACTGGGAAATTGCATGGAAAATTCCATTGGGAATTYATTTCCAATTATTCTTCCCAAGAGATGGCTTACTGGAACAAATAGCAATATCACTATTAATAGTTAATACTACTAATGCTTATTATTAATTGTTAATAGCATGAGAGTTTCCACAGGGAATTTAACCACTGTATTGCTAGATTGCAAAAGASTATTTTACTTCAGGGTAATTGGTCAGCAGTCTGGTGAGAGAAGACTGAAACTCATCCTAGGGTGGAAGTAGGTGCCCAAGTCTGGACAAACCCTGGAGAGTGCAGGGGCAGAAGCGCAATGTATGTGCAAAATGATAACATTTTCCATTACTGGACAGGTTGCTTGTATATGGAAGGCATCTCAAAAATACTGTCTTATAAACAGAGACTAAAAATGGCCCAGTAGACTGAAACTTGTCTGTTTCTTGTTTCTATTTTCTTCCCTATAAACTTTGTAAGTGCTGTCCATGTTTATAAAGGAAAAAAAAAGRTAAAGAAACTCTATTTTACTTGATTTACATCAATGCTCACTCCAGTATAACTGGCAAATATCTCAGCAATTCACTTCTGTGCATAGAGCAGTACTTAAACGAGATGCAAAGCCACTTTTGCAATGCATCTTACCCCATGCCACTTTGCAGCCCATTCAAAGGCCAACCAGGTCCAGCAATGCCTGGTCATATTGCCAATTCAGAAGGTGAAATTGCAGGTTTCTGCACTAACTGGCTGCCTCATAAGGCCAGTTTCCACATCAGAAAAAATGTCTGTGCTCTGCAGTAAGATGCAGGAAGATTCCTAAATCCTAAAGGTTTAAGTAACATCTAGCAACTTAACTTAACTTACACTTAATAAACCACTAAATATCATATACTGACTTTAGCATCATATACTGAACTGTGTCTGTAACACAACTAGTTAGAACGTTTTTTGAGTTTACTGCTTTTACAACATACTCGTTGCTTTAACATTACATTGGTGCGGCTTGACACTGCTGTGCTTTAGGACAACCTGGATTCTGGAAGCAGCACAAAATATTGTACGTCCTTCATCAGAGAAGCTTCACATTACAAGTGCTTTTTAGCAGCTCTGGGGCTACCAGTAATTTTCTGGATGACTGTTTTAAAGTTAGTACATAAAACCCTTAGGAAGCCCTGGACTAAACAAAATAAACAAGCAATGAAATGAAATGAAATGAAATAAATAATAAAGTCCTCACAAAAACCCTTACACCAAAAAACCAGAAATAGACTTATCTACTACCACCTCTGCCTCTCCTCAGAGACCTGTCAAGTACACTCTAAAGGAAAAGTCTCACACTCATTAAAAAAGAAAGCATTCAGTGTAATCTCTTTTGAGGAAATTCTTATTGTTATTATACTTTATGGTAGTTACACTTAGTAAAATATTTTAATGTTAACAATATTGTATTTATTTGTTACCTGCTTTACTCGTAAAAACCTGAAGATTCAAAGACCTAGGCGCAACCTCTTGGTCTTGAGGGTAATCATATCCAAAATTCACAAGTCTACAAGCAAACAAAAGAACACCACATAAACCTCCTCATCCACAGTGATTCATCASAAAACAAAGGAAACACGAGAAAGTGAAAGCAAGTTGTCAAGTATTGGAAGTCATATATTACATTTGAGAACTGAAAGGCACTGGAGTCCATCTCTACCATTTCTGAAGTTGCATGTTAACCTGCAAGCAGGGAAACCAACCGTAGTGGAAATAGTGAGAAAAGGCCAAAGCCCTAACAATGCTCACCCAGCACGTGCTATACCGTGACATTCCTTCTCACTCTCACACGSGCAGGGTTTTAATGGGTTTACATATTTTTAAATCTACAAGTACTGTTTCTTTTTTCCATGCAGAACGTGCACCTCAATCTGTTGTACTCAATCTGCTTTGGGTTTCCCCCTTAGCCTCCAAGAAAGCATTTCACATCTACAGGGATTTTTTCCTACCTTTTTTCGGCAAGAATCCCAAGGGGAAGAAAATATATATAGAAAGAGAGAGTAACAAAGCTCCTGCAAGTGCTGGAATGTTTTCCCATATCAGCAGTAACAGGACACACTGCCCATTTAGAGCAGCCTGCATGCTCAGCACCACCACAATGAGTTTACTGCACTAGCACTGAGGGTCCTGGGGACAGGTTGGGCAGGATGCAGCTCGCCAACATCCAGATAGTAATACCTGAACCAGCAGCTTTAGCCGCCCTCCGTGTTTAATGAATAGAAATTGGTCCCTTTAGAATTAAAGTTAAAGTGAAGAGAGATGAGAATGAGATTAATTATGAGTGTAAGAGTATCCTGACTACATCTTCCTCAATTACAAGGGAGCCTTAGGAAGACAAGCTCAGATGCAGCACATCTGAGCAAGCCCGTRTGCACAGCAGGCACAGACAAAATCCAATGCAATTCACCCCTGGAAGTGGCGCAAACAATAGCTGAAGAAAACGAGCACAGAGGGTAGGAACAATCTAGTGCTCTGGTTAACTGTCTGCTAAAACATGCAACAGCAACAAAAAAAGAGAGTAACAGAGCAGGAATTTAGCGATCGCTGCTACAGATCAATTACTGCACACCCATGACAGCACAGGACATTGAAGTCAATTTCTTTACTTTAAACAGGTAAATACTCAAGAGAAGGATAGTTTAACCTGTAACTAGTTCTACAGCCAAATCATTCTCAAAAAATGACACCCACACAGTAGTGAAGGATTCTACTAAGTTTTACAGTTGACTCTGATGAAAATGAGAGAAATTAGAGATGGACAGAGTGTTTAAATCATTCTTATATTCCAGTCCTGCTTATGCAACTCCAAAGAGAAAGTGTTTCTGACTTAAACTGTACTGAAGTTTGTACAAAGTTAGATTATGCATTAGAAGAAAACCACAAAATATACCGCTGCACACACAACAACTTACTTTAATTCCGTGTCAGGTACAGAAATATCCAGGTGTGATTCCAGCTGTTAACCCCAAAACAGAAYAGATCGATGTTACTCAGTGAGACAGCATCATATAGCTAATATTTCATTCAGTAAAATGTGCAACACTCACACTTCACCAAATTTTTAAATTTGAACATTTTTAAACAAAAAAAATAAAGCTTATCTCTTATCCTGTAATCCTTACAGTCTCCCCCAAATCATTAGCTACCACTTTTTTGCTTGTTTAAAAATATATAAACAAGAAGAGCTGTGAGATATTTAGCCTCTTGCATTAAAACAAATTTCAGCCACTAAGACAAAAAACTAGTACAATTACATGCTCATGCCCACAATTACAGTCATGATTTACAGCTCCATTCCATTTCTTGACAGTATACACTTGGCTGCCTTCTTTAAAACTGGTACAAAAAGAAGTCTGTGATCTCTTTTCTTTTTCTTTATCTGGTGATTTTGATAATCCTGTTTTTATGTACTTGGGTATAAGACGAGTGGAACATGATGAACTTCCAGGTGAGAATGTGTGCAATTCCACTGAAACTACCTTATTGTAACTCAATATCATATATTCTTGAAATATATATATACACATATGTTTTTTATATATATTTATACATATATATATGTATAAAATTTAAAGAGAAATGGAAAAAAAATCCCTCTGCATTCCCTCTGCAAAAAGTTCCCTCCAATAATTAAAAAAAAAAAAAAAAAAAAAAAAAAAAAAAAAAAAAAAAAAAAAAAAAAAAAAAAAAAAAAAAAAAAAAAAAAAAAAAAAAAAAAAAAAAGAGAAGAACGAACAAAATATCTCAATGTAACTGCCTGGAACACAATTGTATCCATCTCAAAATCACCATGTAACATAGTACTAATGACTTACTATTGAGTTAAAATTTTCATCAGGATAAAACTGGACACATTTTAAGGTATTCCTCGACTCCTGGAATTAAGAGGATGTTTTATAATTAATATTATGCATATCACACAGACTGAGAAGTGAGTAGATCTCCCAGGACTCTACCCAGCCAACCCACTTTACTGCCAAATGTGCAGCAAGGGAACAAAAGACAAATTAAAAACCACATATAACCCCCCACAACAGCAGCATGACAAACTTCCTTCCTGCCCCAGATCATTATCTACCAGTCACGGGTAATTGCGTGGGCTCTCCCTTGAAGCCCTGCACTACATGTGTCTCTCTCATGCACACAAAAGCATTCTAGAAGTCTAAAAATGTTTTCTATAACTCTGTCTTACTTCAGTCTATCCATAAAGGGCATCTCAGAAAGAAGAGGCAGGAATGCATTCTCCCTTGTAGTTTCTACTTCCTACTACCCACCCAAAATAAACGAGCACAAAGAGGTGAGGGAAGCTGATTTTCATTTTTATGTAGAAAACAACAAATACAGAGAGTCTCGYAGAGTGAGAAAAACAGGGGGAGGGACGAAAGCTTCTAGCCCAGAACCTGTCCTTAGTCAGTGCACTCAGTACATCCACATACAATTTACACTCCCTAGAAGACAGACAATACAAGCGTGCCAGTTTTTCACAGATATACATCACTTTTTTAAAGGCAAAAAAGAAAAGAGAATCCTCAAAAACCCAGCCTCTATTACAGGAAGCACCAAAATTACCAGTTCTCTTGCAATTGCTAATGCACTGACAGCASCAAAGCAAGCCTTGCTCTTGGTTTGGGTTAGCTGAGGTATTAGCAGACTGCTGCAATGAAAGCCAATGAAAGCCACAGGTGCTCTGAGCTTTCCCATCATGAGACACACGAGGACAGAACCACTAGCATGACTTTCTCCTCACCTTTGGAGCAATGTAGAAGAGCCTCTGCTCCATCATATCCCACTGAGCCCAAATGAGATCATCTGCAACTCTGGATCTTGGAAGTTGACCTGGGTTTCGAATCACCTAATGGGACAAGTGAAAAGACTGAGCATTAAAAATCAAGTGAGGCTTTGAATGATGATCCCAAACAAACTGCTGAGAGATGTGGGGATGCTTTTTGTCATGTCAACGCAGAACGATTCTGTTTAAGAGGACATGATCTGATTCTTTGGTTGCACTGATCCTCCTTATTCCACTACTGCAGACCACTGCATAAAACCCACCTGCTTTACAACCAAACTTCTTTTCAAGAAAAACAGATAAAAAGACTTCARGTGTCTGAGAATCAGGACCATAGCCTTTCAAACCTACATTTATTGGCATGAAATGAAACACTGTCTTTTATGATGCAATTATTTACTATATTACATGTATACCTAATAACAGCAAGCATTTCACGCAGGACATTCATAGAATCACAGAACCACAGAATGCCCAAGGTTGGAAGGGACCTCAGAGGTCATCGAGTCCAACCCCCCTGCTCACGCAGGGTCACCTAGAGCACGTGGCACAGGGCTGCGTCCAAGCGGGTTCTAAAGATCTCCAAAGAAGGAGACTCCACAACCTCTCTGGGCAGCCTGTTCCAGTGCTTTGCCACCCTCACAGTGAAGAAATGCTTCCTTATGTTCCTGTGGAAATTCTGATGCTTCAGTTTGAAGCCATTTCCTCTAGTCCTATCCCTGCCCACCACTGAAAAGAGGCCGCCCCCCTCCTCCTCACTGCCTCCCTTGAGATATTTATACACGCTGATCAGGTCCCCCCTCAGCCTTCTCTTCTCCAGGCTGAACAGGCCCAGCTCTCTCAGCCTTTGCTCATAGGGCAGATGTTCCAGGCCCCTGATCATCCTGGTAGCCCTGCGCTGGACTCTCTCCAGCAGCTCCACATCCCTCTTGTACTGGGGAGCCCAGAACTGGACACAGTCTCCAGATGTGGCCTCACCAGGGCTGTGTAGAAGGGGATGATCACCTCCCTCGACCCGCTGGAGACGCTAAAATTCAAAATAAACTTGTCCAGTGGAGTGACATGAAACACATAAAGCACAAATTAAAAAAAAAAAAAAAAAAAAGCAGGAAATACTGAATACTGAAATATTTCCCTCCTGCCCTTTTTTTTTTTAAATGAAACCTATACTGAGACACACAGTTTCCCAGAACACAGAGTAAGAAAGGTTACTCAATTCTGTAGATGTTTTTGAATTAAGGGGCTGGAGCATCTCATTCTTATGAGGAAAGACCGAGAGAGCTGGGCCTGTTTTCCCTGGAGAAGAGAAAGTTGAGAGGGGACCTGATCAATATGTCTGAGTACCTGAGAGGGGAATGTAGGGATAAAGGGACCAAACTCTTCTCAGTGGTGGTCAGTGACAGGACAAGGGGCRRTGGGTCCAAGYTGAAACCCAGGCAGCTCCATSTGCATGTGAGGAAGAACTTSTT